TTGGAATATGTTTTTGATATCACTTGCCAATAAAGTATTTACATTGAGAAAATAATGCCATCTTCCAAATGAAATGTCAGTAGAACCCTCAAACTATACTTAGTTTGAAAAAAAAATCCAGAATGGTCAAGTTAATCCTTGCCAAAGTCAAATAATCTAATCGAGTGTAGATTCAATGGGCAACATGTGTCCCTCCAGATGTTGTTAGACAGCAACTATTGTGATTCCTCATCATTGAGTATGCTAGTTGGGCTGATAGAAGTAGAAGGTCAAACATCTGGAGGGTCCAGTCCTGCCTGCCTTCCTATCCTTATGTTAGCTAGGCTCTCACATGCTAGCAATGTAAATGACGCATGTGAAATCATACTTTGAGGCTATGTTAGCTCTTTCTTTATGCACAGACACTAATTACCTGACAATAAGATAAAAATAGAGATAAAGGGAATTGAGAGAATTGGGATAACCAGTGTCTCCTTACCAGGACTCAGGACACCTGGGTTTGAATCCTCATTTAGTCATGGGAACTCACTGGCTGATGGGGAAAAGCTGATTAAACCACTCCTTAAATATCTCTGTTGCCTTAAGAGTACCGTTAGGTTCACTCTAAGTCAGTTTTGACTTGAGAACACATTGCACACAACCATACCCAGAGAAACAGAGACTAGAAGAGGATAAAAAGGAGAAGAATGAAGAGATGTGACGGGTGGAGGAAAGAGAAAAGGGAGATGTAAATGCAATATAAGGTGCAATCTTTTCTTCCTTTCTAGAATAGCTCTCAATCCCATTTGAGAATATCATGAGCAGGTGTGTGTGTGTGCATACCAGCTTATTCATACATACATACATACATACATACATACATACATACATACATACATAACTATTCTTAACATTTCCATGGGTCTCTAAATCCCCAGGACTATACAATAGGTTCTCTAACAAAACCACCCATTTCATTCCAAAATTGCACCTTTCCCAAATGGTGCATTGTGGTGGTACAGCTGCAGCCTCCTCATCCTTTTTAATCTTAGAACTGCAGTGCTGAAAGGGACTGTTTGGATCATTGAGTGTAGCGCCTATCAAGGAGGCATGGTGGGGCGGCCCCAACCATTCTTGAGCTCTTTCCAAATCCCATCCCCAAGCAAAGTCATGGTTTAAAATTCGGAATGGGAGAAACACAGCTGCTGCCTACCATATATCACACCCAGAAATGGTTTCCCTCCATGTTATTCTTCACACACGATAGACACTACAGGGATGGATTGCAAAAGGGGACACAACACACCAGTCTCTTGAAGGTGCATTTAATTTTTTATTTTTTGGGGAGAAACCATAAAAAAATACCAGGAGCACTAAGTAGTACCTACATCATACAACTAGCCTGAAGGCTAATTTTTATAGAACTGTTTTGATGTATTCCGGAAGGCTTTCACAGCCAGGATCCGATTGTTGTTGTAGGTTTTTTGGGCTGTTTGGCCAGAAAACCTACAACAACCCTAACCATTTTCTTTAGATGCATAAAGAATGCCAGTGAGGCTACAGTTTCCCAGCAGCCTTTCTGTCTCTTTTTTAAATATTTCTCCCACCACCGCCTCTCTCACAAAAGAAAAATCTGGAGTCAAGGAAAAGGTGCCTCTGCCTTTGAAGTAGTAAATCTTTTGCCTAGTTTACACGGTCTTGATTAGTTTGCAGGAACGATAAGAAGCGATTCTCTCTCCTGGTGTTTACACAATCGTCCCTCTGATCTGGTTATAGTCACGTGACCCCCCCACCCTTTTTTCTTTTCCTTCTCCCATTGTCTCCAAATACAATCTAGGGCCCGACATTGTTAGAACTGAGGTCAGTGGCAAAGTTTGGGTACGGGGCGAGGCACGATGGGGACCCCCAAGAGCCCTCTCTGCACCTGCAAGCAAGAGGGCAGTTTGACGAGATGCGCGTCCGTATTATCACAATGGACGGCAGGGGTCGCACCTCTCACAATTTTGGAGCTCCCCAAAGAGCGGCTGAGAAAGGAAGAGAAGAGGCGAAGACTCTGCAGTCACCGAAGATAACGCCTCCCCCCCCTCCAAAACCGACCATCCTACCATCTAGCAACCATGGCCATTCGGACCCATTAAGAAAGCAATATAGGGATACGATTTTATATCAAGAACATTTTCTGAAGAAAGTACTTGTAGTCGCTTTAAGGAAGGCAAGAATAAAACATACACCTCTGATATTCCTATGCTTGGTTCATCCACGAATACCCTTGGTTACACAGGATATCCCTGAATTTAACGCAGTGCAAGCGAACTATTCGGTGAGGCTGTAAATCCTGTGACCGTTTACTTGGAAGCAAAGCCCATCGGATTTAAAGGAGATTTGCTTCTGAGTAAATATGCATAAAAGGTGGGACCACGGAAAAGGGGGGGGGGCTCTTCGGTTCTTGATCTCTGATTATGTTGATCATTGCTCGATGTAAATGATGAACCTGCTTATATGAAACAGCTTCTTCCAGCTCCCGCGCGGGGAAGATGCGCAGAAATCGGGGCCAGTTTGGCTTGCGGAACCATTGCGATCTTCCTCCCGGTTCTTGCAGCGCGGCCCCGGGCAAACGAAGCAAACGCCGAAGTCTTCCATCCATTCACGCTTATTGCGCGACAAACAGCTTTTTTTGTCTCCCAGAGAGGGAGATGGATGGGAAGAAAGAGAAGGAGAGAGGAGAGGTCCCTGCAGGGCCTATCCAAACCTTATCATCACCTGGCTTCTAAGGATCTCTGTCACCCAACCCAACTTAAAAAAACTTTGAAATCAAATGAACCAAAACTTTTGAAACTGGGAAGGCGTTCGGGAGGAAAAGGACCCGTTCTCTCCCTCTCTCGCCCAGGGCAATGAAGCGGTGGCTTGTCCCTTGTTTCATTAGCCCTTCCTGTTCCTCTCGCCAAACCGGACTGTAGAATGTCCGGAGATCTCGTGCCAAAAAAGAGTGCAAGCGATACTTTCAGGGCACCTTCGGTGAATCAGACGAACCTTGTTTTCCAGAAGCTGGTCGTACAAAGGAAGCTTTCAAGGGATACGTGTGCCAAAGGTGCGGAAAAGGAGGGCTGGGGAAATAACCCCGCGTACCTTTTTTTTTTCTTCATTGATTGAATACAGACTGCCGTGTGTTCTGATACTCCTCTCTGCCTATCAGGACAGAGCTGTCAGGCAAGAGGGAAATAAGCAGCCCCCTTTTCAAGCAAGGACAAACGCTAAAGGGCGCCCAGAAGACACAGCCGCGAAGATAAAAAGAGGCCCCCACCCCGCCTCCTCCCTGTGGAGATAGGACTCTTGCGACGGGAGACGACAGATTACATTTTTCACTCCTCATCTGGGTTTACCTCATTCTTTTCCTCCACTGGAGTCTACATTCTGATGTCATTAGTGGGCAAACCCAGATAACTCCTTAGCGTCGTCTATCTAGCTGGGCAGAACTGCCTCGTTCCACTCCAGACCCTATCGGTTTATAGGATCGCGCCGGCTGCTGCCATTCGAGGGTCAATCCATGCCCGTTTCCGCCCTATTTAGGTGGAAGTCACTTTCCCGCCATCCACAGTCTCTCCAGATCCCACGGCTGTCACTAGGTGCATCCCAAGGCGAGCAGGCTATGGGTGTGAAATAAAGAAGGACGCCACCCAGTCAGAGCCTCGTCACCCTCAAGGGGACTTGACTATCCAGTGCTGAAACTCAGGTCTCTCGTTAAAATCAGCGAGAGCTTGGCTGCTCGACTAAACATGGTCTTTTTGGAATTAATTAAGGTGAAGCCTACAGCTAGTGCTCCGGCGTAAAAATGCTTAGAAATATGCCCTAGTATGCCTGGCATTGACCGAATCCAGCCCGTCATAATCTGTCGGCTCGATTTGATCTACACTGTTCCCTTGGATGGGGAGTGTTTTTCGAGTTTGCCCTGACTGACACCTTCCAAGCTCACCCCTGATCTCGCCCTTTCCACCCACCCTTATTCTTAACGAAATGGATACTTTGGATCGGTGCTCCCCACCCCACCCCGAATTATAAAGAGCCCGCGGCTCGAGCGAGAGAGCGGGCAGGGGTCTTCTCTCCGCGGGTTTATTTCCGTCTTCTAATTTTGCAGAGGGCGGGAAATCCCAGTCTACTCCCAGTCTACTGTCTACTCCCTCTCTTAAAAAAAAATAATAATAATCGGGCACAATGTTTAGAATATCATTCCATCAATCCAGTGTCAATTTTCCATAATTAACTTCAGTGAGAGGCAGACCTCAGAACTGCCGGGCAAAGACCGTCAGGCAAGCAAATGCCTGGCTGCAACCCGGCTGCCTCTCAAGCATGGAAGAAGCCACCGGACCCTACGAAGGACCATCTAGTGCTTCTGCATCTTTAGGTGCGAGGAACGGATGCTCCTTGGATCCTGCAAGGTCGCAGACTGCAGGAAAGCATCCCATGTTAAAAAGTTAACTTTCAGTCTTCCTGTAACCTGATTACTGGTTCAAATCGTTGATGCATGTTTTAAACCTATGCGTCCTATCGAGACATGATAGCCTCTTTAACACACCGGTTGGATTTTAGACTTGCGTTTAAATAGGGTGCGCAGCGCAATCCTATTCATGCTTACTCAGAAATACGCCTCATCGAGTTCTGATGTCCTGCATGTACTTCTTTTGAGAATACTCCTCCTCATGAGGACAATCCTTTTAAACCAAATGATTAGGATCGCTCCGCTCAGCGAAGCAGTAGCAGCAGCAGTTCACGAAGGCCTTAATCCTGTACATGATTGGGACGCAAAGTCCCGTTGAGCTAACGAAGGAATCCTTACGGCATACATTAGTTACTCACAGGATCGGGCTGCCGGAAACTTGGCAGTGCCCCGAGTGTTTCCCTCTTGGAGAGTCCTCGTACCTCTGAGAGCTAAAACCACCCAAGAACACCAAGAAAGCAAAAGGAGGCAATCAAGCGAGGACTCCAGACCTTTTCCAGGCAGATGCAATAGGAAAACGGGCACTTACTTCTTCCTTGTCGCCGGACTCTGGAAGGCTGCTGCTGGCTGCCAATGTATTCCATCAAGTTCAAAGTGATAAAGAACCAAGAAACCAGTCGCAATTGCATAGTAACCACCCTGTAGAAGTTTCCGTCTCTTGTCCTTTCGGGGGAGGTGGAGGAGGTTGAGAAGAAACGGGGAGGGGAAGGGGAAAAGGGGGGGCGGCGGGAAGAGGGGCAGCAGAAAGACCTGCTTCTGGCAAAGGACTCCCAAGTATCTTTGTAAATATATATGTGTGTGTGTGTCAGTGCGCGCGCGAAGGTATCTGCTGGTGACAATGACGATCGTCAATTATTGCACTTCCAAATCGTCCGAACGGTCGCCTCCTGGCAGTCTCTGCGGGAGGATGGCGAGGAATGGCAGCAGCCCTGAAGCGGCACTGAGGGGCTCGGTC